ATGGCAATTTTGTCATATATAATTTTAGGTATTTAAATATTAATGTTTCCATCATACTTTGTCTACTTTCTTCCCCTTCCTCTTCCTCCTCCTCCTTCTCCTCCTCCCCCTCCTCTTCCTCTTCCTCCTCTTCCTCCTTCTCCTTCTCCACCTTCTCCTTGTTCTTCTTTTTGTTGATTTTTTTGAGACAGTTTTGCTATGTAACCCAGGCTGGCTTTGACTTTTGACAATTCTCCCACCTTTGCCTCCAGAGTGCTGAGATTACAGGCATGTGCCACTATGCCCAGCTTTCTTATTTTATTTCTTCTCTTAAAAGTATGTAAATTATAAAATAATTAAGATGCAAATAAATTTTTAAAATACCTCAAACTATAAATGAACAGCAAAATAAAAGACAGATAAGAAGTAGAGGGGGTGGAGAGAAAGGAGAAGAGATTTTTGAAAAAGAGTTGAAGAAAAAAATGAAAATGGAGGGGCTGGGGATTTAGCTCAGTGGTGCTGGCGCCTGCTTCACAAGCACAAGGTCCTGAGTTCAAACCCCAGTACATCCCCCACAAAAAGTGGAAATGGAGCTTTTGAAAATGGGAAAGGGAACTATAGCTGGAGGGAACAGAGAGGGATGGGAACGGAAGAAGCCAAGAAAACAAATGAAGATGTTCTATGTCCATGTACCAACTATCCATGGTAAATGTAATCATTATGTACTCCAAAGATGTACTAATAAAAAATTCTTTTAAAAATCTAATTTTACCACATAGAGATAAGAATTACTTACATTTTAAAGTATATCTCTCCAGATTATGTGTATGCATATATAATGTTCATGTAATCTATTTTTACAAAACTGAACTTATGTGGGGAATCACAATCCCCTTGTGATTCAGAGGATAACATTCCTGAACTTCAGGTTACATCAGCATCACCTGAAGGTGTTTGTCAAAACACAGATTGCCAGGCCTCAAGCCTATAATTTCTGATCAAGGTCAATGATGGCACTCAAGGGGCTGCAGTTTTGCAAAGTACCAGGTACTATAGATGCTGCTGATGTGGGGCCCACACTTTGAGAACCCCTTGTCTAGGCTCTCTCCCTGCAAGCCATCACACTACAGTCCCTTCTCAGCCTAAACCCCTTTTATGGTTTCCTTCTGTCTGTGGGACAAAGTGCAGACTTCTTGGCAAGGCAGAACATCTTGTGCTCTGGCCCTGAGCTGTTTTTCTCTAGACAGACACTCCGGTCACGCCTCTCCCAGCTCCCAGCTCTTTGCTGGAGGAGATGACCCTTTGCACTCTGTCAAAGGTTCTGTTCTGCCTTCTGGGTAGGCCGGCAGGATACTGCAGGGTGAAGGGAGAGAAGTTCTGTATACTTTCCCTGAGCTCCTTGCCCCATGGTTTTGCTGTAGTGTTGTTCTTTTACCTAAAGTCCAAATAGGCTGGGGTTTCTGTACAGTTACTGTATCTGCTCATTTGCCATCCACTGGACCCATCAAATCCACAGATCATAATGACTTTCTGCTATGACTGGTCCCAGGCAAACTTCAACATCTTTTCTGAGTGCTTTTATGTTCACACCTCTGTGGATGATCTCTTCATTGCATTCCCTCTTAGTAACCAACCTCTTTGGGCGGCTCTTTCTCTTAGGTCTTCACTTCACTTTCCAGTCTCCTTTTCCACCAACCACTTTCCACCTGTGCCCTGGCCACACGTTTCCCAAACACCCACATAGTTCACAACCCCTTGCTTTTGTCTATGTTTTTCCCAGTTGCTGAAAAGAACTTTCATCTTCTTTATGTGAAACTCTACTTTTCTTCTTTTAATATGTAAACCTAATATCATTTTCTTTATAAAGATTTTCTTATCTGAACTTATTCCATGATTCTGGGACGTGTGTGTGTGTGTGTGTGTGCGTGTGTGTGTGCATATATACTATATATGCCTACATAGAGATTTTATTGAGATATACTTCATGAGCTTTAAAATTCACATAAAGTGGCTTAATATAGTCCTAGAGTTTTGCAATTATCACCACAATTTAATTTTAAAATTTTCATCTCTTTGAAAGAAATCCCATATACACTCCTCATTCTCCAGTTCCCTTAGATCATGGGAACCACTAATCTATTTTCTTCCTCTATGGTTTTGCCTATTCTGGACATTTGACATAAATGGAATCATCCAATATGTGGTCTTTTGTGACTGGCTTCTTCATTTGGTATGTTTTCAAGGTTCATCCACGTTGTAGTATGCATCAACAACTCATAGGTACTACAATGTGTTTACTCATTCACTGGTTGGCATTTTGGTTGTTTCCACTTTTTGTCTGTATGAACAATGTTGGTATAAACATCTGTGTATAAGTTTCTATGTAGACATATGTTTTCAATTATTTTGGGTATATGCCTAGGAGTGGAATTTCTGGGTCATATGGTAACTCTGTGTTTAAAGTTTTGAGGAATTGACAAACTCTTTTCCATTTTCCATTCCTGCCAGTAGTGTATGAAGATGCCAGTTTTTCCACATCTTGCTCAACAGTCCTTATTGTCTGTTTTTACAATTATAGCTTACCCTTTGTGTGATGAGGTATCTCATTATGGTTTTGATTTGCATTTCCCTAATGACTTCAGAAGGTTGAGCACCTTTTTGTGTGCTTATCGCCCATTTGTATGTCCTCTTTGGAGAAATGTTTATTCAAGAATTCTTTATAGATTCTGGATACAAATCCCTTGTGAGATTTATATGATTTGCAAACATTTGCTCCCAGAAGGTGGGTTGTCTTTTCACTTTCTTGATAATGTCCTTTGAAACACAAAGATGTTTAATTTTAATGAAGTCCAACTTTTCTATGTTTCCCTTTGGTAGTTTGGGCTTTTGGTGTTGAAACTAAGAAACTGTGGCTTAAACCATGGTATATTAATACAATGCGTGAGCTGCCCTAATAAAGTACCACAGGCTGTGTGGCTTAAAGAATGGTCCATGATCAAGGTACCAGCAGAGTTAGTCCCGGAAGAGGCCTCTCTTTCCAGCATTCAAGAGGCTGCCTTCTTCCTGTGTCTTCACAGGACCTTTTCTCGGTGTTTATGCAAGCAGAAGGAGCCATTTATGATGGTTCTTCCTCTTCCAGTCCTATCTCCTCAGAGCCCCACTCCACGCTCTCATTTGACTTTCATTACTTCCTTAAAGGTCCTACTTCCAAAAATAGTCACAGTAGGAATTCGGGCTTCAACATTCTAATTTTAAGAGAAACAATTCAATCTATAACACAAAGCAATGGAGGCTTACTTCTGTACCTCCTAAAAGTTCTGTAGTTTTAACTCTTACATTTAGATCTTTGACCCATTTACAGTTAATTTCTGTGTATTGTGAGACAAGCTTTTGCATGTGAATAGCCACTTGTCCCAGTACTGTTTGTTGAAAAGACTGTGCTTGAATTGTTTTGGAACCTTTGTTGAAATCAATTGACTGCAAAGTGGAGAAGTTCTGGGATGTTTTATATATAATGTTAATATGGCACTTATCTCATTAACTTAACTGAATAAAAGGTAAGCTTCTCAAACTAGGATTTGGTCATCTATGATGATGGAAGTAGAGCATAGTGATCAACATAAAACAGTATTCATTTAACAATACTCATTTCAATGTACCCTAATGTTTCCTCTGTTATGTGTAAATTAAATCTGGGAAAGCTCAGAGAGGAGATATCAGGCTGGTGGGTTTTAATGGGTGAATTAGGGGAAGGAAATATCTTCAGGATGTAGTTTTGCTTGCTCAGGAAATACCTCAGGTAATTGGACATATACTTTCTGTGTTTGATCCTTGAAAGAAGATTCCTTAAAATAGAATATAAGAAGGAGCAGAAGAATTTACCTGATTGACAGTTTTATCAAGAACCATCTTATTTTTGGAGAAGGCAAAAATCAGAAAATTTTCAGATAACATTTGGCTGTTTGATTAAGTTGTGATCGTGGGTGCTTGAGAAACAATCCTTGGTTATCTATCTAATTAAAACAAGTGTTGTAGTTAATTTTATATATTAAGTTACCTGGGCCATAGGGTACACAGATTTTTGGTTAATCATTATTATGGATGTGTCTGTGAGGCTATTTCTAGGTGATATTTAATGTATGAATTGGTCTACTGAGCGAAATGGGTTCCCCTCTCCAACGTGGGTATCACTTGTTCCATCAACTGGATTCTTGAATAAAACAAAATGTAAGGTTGTAGAGAATTTCCTTTCTCTGACTGGCAGTTTTTGAACTTGGAAATTGGTCTTGTGTGATCAGGTTGGAACTTATACCATGGGTTGTCCTAGTTCTGACTTTTGGATTTGGACTAGAATTATCCCATTGGTTCTCTGGGTCTCCACAAATCATGGGACTTCTCAGTCTCTATAACAGTTTGAGCCAATTATTTATAAGTCTGTGTGTGTGCGTGCATGCATGTGTGTGTGTGTGTGTGTGTGTGTGTCCTATTTGTTCTGTTTCTCCAGAGAGCACTGACAATGTGAGACCAAAGTGACTCCACTTTGCTAAAATCCACTATTCCCCTTGTCTCTATTGACCTCACAAATTAATGGTTAAAATGTGCTTGCTCTGGGACAAAAGACACAATCTGTAACGAAGCAAAGTTCCTAAGTTGATTACTCAACCATCTGTTTGCCCAGGAAATGAATGTTCTGGGTCCACTATCTATAGAACAATCTGTCAATGTGCTGACCATCAGTACGTGACAGTCGACCACTAACCTTTGTCCCTCTTTTCCCCTGTAAAACCTACATGTAACCGCCCCTCAAACCCCCCGATGGGCCTAGCCAATCAGAAATATACACTTCATGCTTGCAAAATGCCAACCAATCATGTAACTGCTAAGTGAAAAATCTCCAAACCTTGCTGTAACCACAATAAAAACCCCGCTAATTTGAAATTCGGGGCTCTCAATTCTGATCCGCTGCGTTGGTGATGGTTGGGAGCCCCTGCTCGAGCTTGAATAAATGACCCTCGTGTGTTTGCATCGGAATCAGCTCCTTGGTGGTCTTTGGGGACTTCGCGATCTGGGCACAACATTTGGGGGCTTGTCCGGGATCCCCAAAACCCCCAGGACCCCTGAACCGGAGGGTCGGTACCGGCCAGTGAGTGTCTCTGTGTTTATAAAGTTGTCTGTCTGTAATTCGGGGGCCCAGTTTCTGAGTAGGTCGGCAGATGGTCTAAGCGGACACGCAGGCGGGCTGCCGACCCGGGATCCTGGCAGACGTTCCAGATCCTTCTGGAGGGGACGGAGTGCCCCATGAGTATGAGTCTGTGAGACTCCTGGAAGGATGGTGCGGGTCGCTCCCATGGCATGGCATGAGGCCATTGTCCTACTTTCAGTTTTGCCTCCGAGGATTGTTTTGTCTTGTCTCTCGTTTCTCTGTTGTGCTTGATTGTCTGTCTATCACCGTGTGTTGTTGTTGTCACTTGACTTGGACTGAGACGATGGGACAGACCGTGACCACTCCTCTGTCCCTTATGATGGACTATTTTAAAGAGGTTAAAGAGTGCGCTCATAATCTATGTCTAGAAATAAATTTAAAAAAAAATCCAGACTTGTCCTTCTGTGTAGTTCAGAGTGGCCTTCCTTTGAGGAGGGATGGTCCCCCAAGGGAACTTTTGATTTGCAGATCATATGCAGGGTCCGTGTAGCTGTCTTCCATCCCTACACAGGACATCCTGATCAGGTTCCCTACATTGTCACTTGGGAGAGTTTAATCTGCGACCCCCCACCATGGGTCAAGCCCTTTTTGCTTCCACAGAAACAGCAGCCGGAGGTAATCCTGACAGCCTGTGAAAAGACTCCCAGAGAACGCGACGGAAAAAGACAAACCGAGACCAAGCCAACTGCCCTGCTTTACCCAGTTATTCAAGGAGGAACTGATGAAGGTCTCCTCTTTCCCTCTCCCTACCGCCCACACCCCTCTCCTCCACTCCCCCCTCTGCCAGCCGGGGGGGGGGGAGGAAAGAGCACCGGCGGCCAAGGCAGAGGCGCCTGCCCTCCGGAGGGCGCCACTGGAGGAGACGGCCCCACCCAAAACACCCATAATCGCTGCGCAGCCTTGCCGGCTCCGGCAGATTCCACTGTCCTCCCATTGAGGGCGGCTGGACCCCCTGATGAGCATGGCAACCAACCTCATCATTATTGGCCCTTTGCCACTAGTGACCTCTATAACTGGTGAATTCAACACACCAACTTCTCTGATAACCCTAGGGATTTGATTAACCTATTAGAAACTGTTTTGTTTACTCATCAGCCCACTTGAGATGATTGTCAGCAGCTCCTCCAGATCCTGTTTACAACAGAGGAGCATGAAAGACTCCAGAATGAGGCCAGAAAATTGGTTCCTGGTGACAATGGTCAACCCACCACCAATGATGATACTATCAACACTTCTTTTCCTTCGTCCCAGCCCAACTGGGACTTCCACACAGCAGAAGGTAAGGAGAGGCTCCGGGTCTATCGCCAGGCTCTGTCGAGAGGTCTCAAAGGGGCTGCTCAAAAGCCCTGCAGCCTTCCTAGAAAGAATTCAGGAAGCCTTCTGTAGGTATACTCCTATGGACCCAGAAGCAACTGAGACAAAGGCAGCTGTAATAATGGATTTTGTCAACCAGGTGGCGCCAGATATTAGGAGAAAGTTACAGAAAGTAGACAGATTAAGAGAGAAGAGTATCCAGGATTTAGGGGCAGTGGCAGAGAGAGCGTATAACAACAGGGAAACCGCAGAGGAAAAACAGGTAAAAGCTGATAACCACCAGACTCGAAACCTGGCTCGAATTCTTCTGGCCACCACTGTGGGAGAGCTGAGGGAATGTGAACGTCATCTGAGAAAGATTGTGGCAGAAGGACAAGGTAAGGGGGAACATAGGGATCGCCCCCGATCGGGAAAGAACCAGTGTGCTTATTGCAAAGAGGAAGGCCATTGGGCCAGAGAATGCCCTAAAAAGCCGGGAAGCTGCCCCAAGGCCCCCATCCTGGCTATGGATGAACTGAGTGATTAGGGGGGACAGGGCTTGGTGCCCCTCCCCGAGCCCAGGGTAACCCTTAAAGTGGAGGGGGAGCCCATTGAGTTCCTGGAAGATACTGGTGCTCAACATTCAGTTCTGCTTAAACCACATGGCCATATATCTGACAAAACTTCCTGGGTCCAAGGAGCCACAGGCATGAAAAAAAATATATTCATGGACTACCTGAAGAACGGTGGACTTGGGATTGGGCCGGGTAACCCACTCATTTATGATTATACCTAATTGCCCCATCCTCTACTTGGAAGAGACTTGCTCACTAAGTTAGGAGCCCAAATCCATTTTCAGCCCGGGGGCACGGAGGTCCTTTACCAGGAGGGAAAGCCCATCCAAGTGTTAACTATGAGCCTTGAGGACGAATATCTGCTACATCAGAAGCAGTCCCCTCCTGATCCTGACTGGAACAATGGCTTGCCATGTTCCCGCGAGCATGGGCTGAGACTGGGGGCATGGGGCTGGCCGCACACATGACACCTGTGTTCGTAGAGATAAAGCCAGGAGTGGACCCTGCATGAGTTCGCCAATATCCCGTGTCCCTAGAGGCCCACAAAGAAATAACTCCACACATCAGGACGTTGCTTGCTCAGGGTATTCTAAGGCCCTGTCAATCAGCCTGGAACACCCCCTTGTTGCCAGTGCGGAAACCCCACTCGGATGACTATTGACCAGTGCAGGACCTCCGTGAGCCTTCCGCTGGCACCCAAAAGCCAGCACATCTTCGCATTTGAATGGAGTGACCCTGAGCAGGGCATCAACGGACAGCTGACCTGGACCCAACTTCCTCAAGGATTTAAAAACTCCCCCACCATTTTTGACGAAGCTTTGCATGAAGACTTGGGCTGGACAGAGGCTTTCCCCACCAAGCACGAAACAGCACAGACTGTGGCCAAAAAGCTTTTAAAAGACATCCTACCAAGGTATGGTTTTC